AAGCCTACATGAGGAGGTCCCTCTGCATAATCTTTCAAAGCTAAGTTTATTATAAATCTTTTATACTCTCCCATTGAAAGTTCTCCAGCATTTCATAAAATGCCATCTACAGAATCCAATACAAGTCTACTGCTGTGACTAAGTAACCTACACAAAGGGCACATCTACACATTCATTAATGTGCCATAATTACAGTGCGTTGTTTAGTACCTGTAATATCAGGTAGAGTAATACCTGGAATAACAGGTACTAAATGTGCCGTAATCAGCACTAGTGCTCATTAGTGCAGATAAATGGTTTTTAAGTGATATTAATGCACATTAGACTAAGTCTAATGTGCGTTAAATGTCTTCTGTAGATGCCCCCAAGATGTGGCACAATACTGTTTTCAGCAGTAGTGTTTGTTCAAGACTAGTTTTCTTGTTTTATTATTTTTAAATTAAGGTAATTTGAAGGAGGAGTACTTTCCACTTGCACCTGAAGCAAGAGGCCACTCTGGTCAAAACCTTCTTCATCACATCAGCAAACTATAACTGTGTTCAGTAATTTCTATAATTTGTTGTTCAACTTCCTAACATGTTGCTTAACAAATACCCCTTATAGTAGCAGCAGCCAATTCTTAAGTGGTTTTGATAGTCTGCATCTTCTAGATAAAATGTAAAATTGATGACTTGACTACTTATGATCAACAGTTTTTTAAATAGGGCTATTACCTCTAAGATACTTAACTTGAGACTGTGAACGCAATCAAAATACAATATTTACTACCACAAGTAGACTCACTGGTTTGAATGGTGCCACTTACATAAATCAAATGTATAGCTGGTAGCATCTCCAGGAATGTATATCATATACAAACTTTATATAATGGTGTTTTTTCTTTAACAAATTATTCATAAAATTTCTTTTACTCCATTTAAAAGTTAATTAATAGAAGTTCACTAGCAATCTAATAAACTAGCCCAATTTAAAAGGAAGTTTTATCAGAAGTTTAGAAAAATGGTAATGTAATGTTTAGTGGCCATGTGGGCTGTGCGGGCCATGCAGGGGGCACATGTGGGCCCTGTAGGGGGGGGCTGTGGCCTTGAGGCAGGAAGCTGTGGCTCTATGGAGGAAGCTGTGGGGCCTGCACTGGGGGGTGGGGG